CCTGACCTCTGCCCACACCACAGGCAGTGCCCACCCCCCGGGCACAACCAGCTCCTCTTCCCCTTCCARCTCCCTGTGGAAAGGGAGTCTCTCCATGGCAGGGTTTTGGCTGCACCTCTGACTCCGTGTGCCCATGGCTGGCTGCCGGTGAAGGGGCAGTGCCAGGGGGTTCTTTCAGGGGTGGGAGCAGCTCCAGGGGGGAGAAAAGCCCCATGGGCAGGGCCAGAGGGGCTTTACAGGGCAGTGCCCCACACGACACCCAGCACGTTAGAAATGCACCCAGGGAGCAGAAATTCAATGCCAGAGTGGAAAATCCCTTTTCAAAGTGCTCAGACCCCTGGAAGTGGCCACCCCGTGTGCCCCTGGGCCAGCAAGGTGGTGACACAGCAGGGAGTGCTCCTGCAGCCCAAAAAAGATGCTGCACCAGGGATGGAGGTAGCCACCCCGTGTGCCCCTGGGCCAGCAAGGTGGTGACACAGCAGGGAGTGCTCCTGCATCCCAAAAAAGATGCTGCACCAGGGATGGAGGTAATAAAGAGCAGCACAGCCACACACACGAGTGGGCATTGCTTAAATCACTCCCGAGGGACTGTGCCCCCCTAAAAGCTCCCTTTGCTGCTCTCCTTGAGCCCCAGTGCAGGGTCTGGCCTGGCTGCCACACTGCTCTGCTGGCACGGGCAGCAATGCCCAAGCTCACCTGGGCACAGGTGAGTCAGGGCATCAGAGTCTGGGCACCGATGGGTGCCGAGAAAACCAAGGGTGCAGCACAAAGGCAGCTGAGGGCTGGGGGGCCTGGGGGCTGTGTCCACAGAAATAGGGGTGCTGGGAATCCAAACACGGCTCAGGTACCACTTGCAGGACCCTCTGCCCTCAGGGCCTGGCCTGGGCCACACAGCCCAGTGAGAGTGGGGTTGTTAGAGGGAAATGGTGTTGGGAATAACAAAAACGAGGTGGTAAGGAGAAATGCTGCAGCACTGGGGGCAAAGGGCTGCAATTCCTGCTCCAGAGACACTGCTGTGCAGCTCAGTGTTGCTCAACACCACTAAAACCCCTCTCTGGCCCTCCCTGGGAGTTCCAGACCCAAAACAGAGGCAAGATTTGGGGGGATGTGCATTTTTCACCCCTTTGCAGCCCCTGCTGTCTGGCTGGGCTGGAGCTGCTGGAGCAGCCACTGGCAGCACCACATGGACCTGGCTGGGCTCTCCCAGGCTGACTGGGCTTCTCAGCCAGGTCCTGGGGAAATGAGGCTCCAACTGTTTTTGCACTTGACCCAGGCAAAGAAAATTCCCTTTCCTGCCCCTCCTCCCAAGCTGGCTGTAGGTCTGCTCCTTGTCTTTCTTTTTTCTTTAGCAGACAGTTCCCAGTGCTTATAATTATATAAACCTCCCCCCAAGCAGTCATTAAATCAGCACCTTCTCATATATAATATATACATATATAATATATATATATATATAATTTATAGAGAAACGACTTCTGTAAACAATATTCTTCTACTCCAGAAGGAAGTGTAGTCCCGTGGCATAATGCAGCTACAAACACGGATCTCGGAGAGAACCTGCAGCTCCGGGGAGGGGGCGGGAGCCCCGTGCCACCCCCAGCCCCCACAGGATGGCTCTTGGGCGGGGAGGGAACCGGCTGGCTCGGTTTGGGTGGCACCAGTTTCAGCTGAAGCAAACTGGTCCGACTGTGAAACCAAACTGGTGCGAGGCGTCGCCGTTGTGAAACACCGCCAGGTCCCGCAGGGGCAGCAGCGACAGCTCCTCCGTGCTGAACTGGAAGATGGTGTCGGTGATGGAGGACTCGTTGTCCAGCTGAAAGGAGCACAGAGGGGCACCTGAGCGGCACGAAAATCCGCGAGGATCCCCTCAGAGCGCCTGCTGTCCCCTTGCTGGCTCCCGGTGGATGCAAAGTCTCCATCCCCAGCCCTTCCTGGCTTTTCCAGGGAGTGACCTTCCCCGTGTCCACCTCACCCCCTGCCACATCCCAGCCCGCTCCCAAAAGCCGCGGCAGGTCCTTGGCCGCAGGGATGCTCTCCATGCCCATCCCACCGGGTGAAGCCTCCCCCACCAGCTCCATCCCAAACTTCGGGGGTGCAAACACACGTCGGGGGGCTCTTGCGGGCAGAGCCAAGGTGTGCCAGGGCCGGGCTTACCAGGCAGCCCTGCAGGCTGGCCGCATAGCTCTGCTCCCGGGAGTCGGCCAGGAAGCGGATTTCCTTGGCGGGCTGGGGGTGGCCCCGCTCGGGGGCCGGTCTGCAGGAGTAGGACACCTTCTGGGTGGCCAGGCTGCTGTGCAGCCGCAGGAAACGGAGCTGCACCGGGCTGGCCCCCCTGTATTCCAGCTGCAGGGACAACGGGAGAGAAAACCGGGAAGCGGGGGAAGCTTGGAGCGGGCTGTGCTCCTCCCCGGCCCAAACCGGGCAGGATTCAGTGCCGAGGCACTGCTTTGGAGGTCCTTGCAGGAGGAGGTGTCACATCCCGCCGTGCACAGCCAGGGTGACCTGGGTGCTGCCCAGCACAGAGGGATGGGCATCAGGAGACCCCCGACCCCATGAGAGGGGCTCCGTGTCCCCGGGGCTGTTCCAGCTGGGCACTCACCAGGAAGCCCCCGGGCAGGGTGCTGAACCACTCAAAGGTGTCCTCGGAGCTGTAGGTGCTCAGCCAAGCCTTGATGGGGACCTGTGGGAAGCAGGGACCGTGCCATGCTGCCCCAGCAGGTGCCAGTGGCACTGCCAGGACAAGGAGCCAGCATACAACCCTGTCCCTGTCCCTGCAGCCTGGGCACACGCCACGACCAGGATCCTCCCTCCAAACTTTTCCACCATGGCAGGGGTCACCATGGCAAGGGACTGGGCACACAGTCTCTCTCCAGCCCCACCAACCCTCACCCTCACCCACCCCAAGGGGTCACAGGGGGCTGAAGCTGCCCCCCCAAAGCCCCCCATACCTGGTTGTGGACAGGGGCTATGCAGGTCTCCCCCCCTGCTGTGAAGTTGCAGAAGGCCACCAGTGCATCCTGGGGGCTGCCCTGGTTGGGGTCAATGTAGTACTGCCCTGCAGGGAGGCAGAGGGGAGCTCCTGGCACCCGGGTTTTGGCACAGAGAGGGTGCCACACAATGCCACCCGCCCCAGCTGGTGGCACATCCTTGGCTGCCACCTCCATCCAGCCTGGCCACCAGCCCCTTTCTCTAGGGACGCCCATGAAACCCAACTGGCCTCATCCCCCAAATCCTTGTTCCCTCTTAATTGCAAAGAGCTGCCTGTCCCTGCACAGGCTCTGGAGAGCTGGACAGACCCAGAGCCCACGGTGGGCACCCCACATGCCCCCTGGTACCATCGGGCAGGCTGGGGTGTGCCAGCAGCAGCTCCTTGCAGGTGGTTGCTGGGTTGGTTTTGGTGCCATTGGGATGCTCAACGAGGGCTTGGAGCTCCTGGTTCAGGGTGTCCAGCAGAGCCCAGACTGCAGTGTAGTTCAGGTGGTTGGAGGAATAAATGAGGTGCTAAGAGAAAAAGGGGGGGATATATCCAAGGTGATCTTAGCCCCCCTCTCTTATTTTGGTCAGGAGCATCCTCAGGGGCTGAGGGAAGGGATGGGATGTTCAGGGGACAAGGACAGGCGTGGTGGGAGAGGGATTAACAACATCTGCTTGGTCCTTGTGCACAGGGGACCTCAGAAGCAGCAGGACATGGGACAGATGCCCTGTCAGCCCCTTCCCTCCCTGGGTGGCACCCACCCAAAGGGGATGGGAAGCCCCTCACCTGCAGCTCCTCCTGGGACAGCACCAGTGAGGGCCCGCTGGGACCAGGGGGGCCGGCCAGACCCTGGGGGACAGTGACAGTGCTGTGACATTGGCTGCTCCTCTGACACTCTGACACTGCCAGCAGGATGGCCTGGCATGGCAGGACCTCACTGCCAAGTCTGGGGGAGCGAGGGCCCCAAATTTTGGTGCCGGTGGCTCCACTTACCGGCATTCCCGGCGTGCCCCTGGGGCCTGGCAGGCCCGGGAAGCCCCTCAGCCCCTGCCAAAGGACGAGGTGGAAAAGGGAAGGAAAGCAAGGGGGGGAGATGCTGCTGTGCTGAGCTGCACCCCGGGGTCCCCGTGGGCACCCTGCACCCCAGGAGCAGGAAGGAGGGCAGGGTTCCCTGTGCCAGGGCTGATCCCGGCTCCAGCCACTCCCCACTACTTACTTTGGGTCCAGACAAGCCCTGGAAGGAAAGGACAAGGCCCAGCTAAGTGGGAGGGAGGTGGGATCAAAGGCCCATCCCAGTGTAAACCCTGTGGGGCCAGGAGTGAACCCAAAACTGCCAGGAGGGTGAAGGACTCACGGGTGTCCCGGGAATTCCAGGGTGTCCCTGTGGGCCAGGGGGGCCAGTGTCACCCTGCAAAGACACCAGAGGTGGTCAGGGCACTGCAAGGGGCATCCTTCTAAAACCCAATCCCTTCCCCACAGATTTTGCATGGAAAAACAAGGAATTCACCCCAAACACTCATGTTAATCCCTGACATCCCTCTCCATCCTTCTCTCACCTGTTTTCCCTTGGGTCCCGGCCTCCCAGGGATGCCATGGGGTCCTGGCTTGCCCTAGGAGATGTGGCAGGATGTCACACAGGGTGACAAGAGACCAAAGGGAGGAAGGAAAAGAGGAAAAACCATCTCCCACCTTGAAGCCATCGTCCCCTTGCTGGCCCAGGTCACCCACACTGCCCTTCTCGCCCTAAAAGAGAGTCAGGGAGAGCTCTGGGGACAAAGAGAAGGGCAGAACCCCCCCAGGACAGCAGCCTGGGTGGGGGGCTCTGCCCTGCAAGGTGGGGTTTGGGCCCCCTGCTCTGGTTACCCATCAGGGGTGAGCAGTGGAGGGTTTGCTGCCTGAACCTTGGCAGGAGGTACCAGCCTGGGGATATCTCCCAAAGCCAAACACCTCCTGGCCTCCAGCAAGTGGCTGGAAGTGGGAAGCTCCCAGTTACGGGAATGCAAAATTTCCCAATGCTGGCTGCAAAATTTCTGCCAAAAGAACCCCCAAAACAAATCCCCAAACCCTCATCCTTTGGGTTCAGGATTGGCTGAACCCTCATTGCTGGGGAGGGAAGCAGTGGGATGGATGATGCTCAGCTGCCAAAATGAAAGCCTGTTATCCCAGACTAAAATACCTTTCAGGAAAACCTCAGAATTTCCCAGGAAACACCTTCAGGAGATAAAGAAATGTGCTGAAATGTGGTGGAGCAGGGGACAAACCCCAGCCCAGGCTGCCACAGCCTCCCCTCTGCCTGTGCCTCAGGCACTGCCCTTCAGCTCCTGCTGCTGCCACTGAGCTCCCAGGGAATTCCAGCTCTATTGATTCCCAGGGTTTCATTTTCCTGAAGGATGTGAGCAGCTCCCCAGCACCAGGGACTGCTTGTCTCTCTTATTTATGGCTGTGGGGCTGAGGGATGGGATGGTGAGGACGTGCTTGGCTTCCCAAGCCAAGGGTGGATCCATCAGTTCCTCGGGAATGGCACAGAGGAGGTTTGTGCTGCATCAGCATCACTGCTGGGAGCAGGGGATTGAAAGACTGATTTATAAGGCTGTTGCTGCTCTTGCAACTTCAGAAGATGGAAAAAGGCCTGGTTTGGGAGCAAATCTAAAGGTTCCATCTCCCATCACCAGGGGACATGACGGTCACCCCCAGAGAAGGATGTTGGAGCCATCAGGATTCCACAAGAGGGGAATAAATAAATGATGCCATCCAGCAAATGAAGCACTACCCAGGGTTCCCACTGTGCCCAGGACATGTCACCCACCTTGTGGCCTTTGGGTCCAGGGTCTCCTTTCATGCCCTTCAGCCCTGGGATGCCCTGAGAGAGAAATGTGGGATGAGCTGTGGGACCACATCACCCTGTGGCTGAGCTGCTCCCTGGCAAGGAGGGACCTCACCACAACCCAGGCTGCTGCCAGCATCTTAAGAATTTCAGGCATTTTTAGGAAATTTGAGGCATTTTTCTCATTTTTTAGAAACTTTGAGGCATTTTTCTCATCATGTCTTTGATTTTTGCTTGCAGGAGGATCCCCCAGCAAACCCCGTTAAAAATGCAGTTCAGGTGCCTTGGCTCGCTGGGAACATCCCGGATTTCTTTGGTGAAGTTGCCAAAGTTGGGATTTTTTTATTTTTAAACGGAGAAAAAAAGGATTTCTAGGAATTAAAAGAAATATTTGAGGGTTTTTTTGTTGTTGTTGTTGGCCAGTGCTGGTAACAGCTGGTCCCTCCAGCCACGGGAAGGTGGGCACAAGTGCTCAGCACTGCTTGGCATCAGAAACTGCCCTGCAAGGGAAGGATTTGGCCTCCAGAGCCACATATTGGAACTGATGGGATTTGCCTGACTGCACACACCCTGCTGGGAGGTTCATGTGGGAGGAGAAGACAAGAGGAGATGGATGAACCACCTAAAAACTCCCCCTGTTTTAAATGGGTCTGTAATTTGGGTGTTCATGGAGCTGGGTCACACAGTGGTGCCTACGGGGGTCAAAGAGGGAGCAGCAGCCCCCCAAAACCCCCATGCTGATACTCACATAGGGGCCCTGGGGGCCCTGGGGTCCTGGAAGCCCTTTGGCACCTGGGGAGCCCTGAAATGCAAAAGTGAAAGGCCCTGGCTGGTGTGCCCAGAGGTGTGGGGTGATGCTCCAGTGCCCCAGGAGGGTTGGGGGTGTGGGAGACCCCCTCCCAGGGCTGGGAGGGATGAGGGACACAGAGCCCTCCAGCTGCATTGGTTTGTCCTCTTCTAATCCAGGGGCTCGGGTGGGAGCACCCCTGGCTTGGCAGCACCCCCAAAGTGCCAGGTTGCCAGGGCAGCTCTCACCCTGGGGGGAAAAGTCAACCTACCTTGTGCCCTCGGGGACCCCGTGGGGGCTGGTGGCCCATCTTGCCTCGCTTGCCCTGGGAACAGCAGATCAAAGACTCAGGAACGATTCCAAAATAATCCAGCCACCCCTGGGCCCCTGGGATCTGAACCCCCAGCAAACCAGGGTCCCTCTGGAAAACCTCCCCAAAAAGCTCCCTGCCTCCTGCCACCCTCCCTGGGGACAGCAGTGCCACTTACCCTCCTGCCAGCTTCTCCAGGGACCCCTTCCTGCCCTTCCTGCCCCACGTCGCCCTGGGGGAAGAAGAGATGGGAGATGGGAGTCTCCAGGAGCTCGGCCACTTCCCTGCCCAGGAGTGGGGAAGAGGAGCTGTGCCTGCATGGAAGTGGGGACAGAGCTCACCAGGCACTGGGGGAAGGACACCAAAGTCCCCTGTGCCCCCCCAGGGCCACCTGAGCCAGGGGGGAGGCAGCTCCAGGGGCTGAGCTGGGGAGATCTGCCAGCCCCTCACTCAAAAACCGGCCAAGGCAGCCCCAGGGCATCCTGTGTTTGCCAGGCAGGGAGAAACAGGTCCCTGCAGGTTCCCTCTGGGTTCTCTCCATGATCCACAATGGGACTGACCAGCTCAGGCTCAGCCACCCCCTGCCAGCCCCACAGGAGGATTTTGGGGGTACCTTTTCTCCTTTGCGACCTTTCCATCCTTTAGGACCAGCTTGTCCCGGAGAGCCCTAAAATCCCAAAGGAGAAGGAAAGCCCTCTGTGAGGACACTGTGCCAGGGATGCCCCTCAGCCTCCCTGCCCACCAGCCAGCTCAGGAGGATGCTCCAAGCTGGAATCTTCCATCTGGCATTTTTGCAGGAGGAAGGTGGGCAGAATGGGGCTGTGGGGGGAGAGGCCACCCATGTGGGACCTCAGCACAGCCAGGAGATCTCAGCATCCCACTGTGCCAGGGAGAACCAGCACGGCTCCATCCCACTCCTCACCATTTGTCCTGGTTTCCCTGGCTTGCCTGGCTCCCCTTTTGCACCCACCAGGCCCTAAGAAAGAAAACAAAATCCAACCCGAATCCAAAGAATAAGTTCTAAGGTTATTCATGCGAACCCAGGGCGGGTTTGGGCACAGTTAGAGGGGTGAGAAAAGCTGGAGCAGGGAATGGGGCAGCAGAGGAGCCCACTCACCTCAGTGCCACTCAGCCCCGTGGCTCCAGCTTCGCCCGGGGGCCCAAGAGAACCCTGAGACCATTTGGGGACAAAACACAGGGCTGGCACCAGGGGAGAGCAGGGGGGACAGGGCACAGCCCCTGCCTTGCCCTGGGAGCTGGGCTGGGGTTGTTCTGCCCTCTCTGGTGCTGGAGCTGTGCCAGGGAATGTCCCCCCGTGGGGATGTCCCCGTGGCACAGGGAGGAGTTACCTGCCGGCCTGGCTTTCCCTTGGTGCCCGTCACTCCTCTGGCTCCTTCGTGCCCGGTGTATCCCCGGAGCCCGGGGGCACCTGCCAGCCCCTGAGCCCCTGCTGAGCCCTGGGGGGCACAGAAATGGGGGCACTGCTCACCCAAACCCTCCCGAGCAGGGTCTGAGCAGCTGCTTCTTGAGGAGCTTCAGCTACACCCGGCTTTGCAAACCCCCCTGGAGCTCATCCCACATCCCAGCCTC